TGCCGCGGCTCAGCACCGCCAGGACTGTGCCGGTGGTTCAGGGTTACAACTCCAGCTATAAATTTGGCTGTGAATGTCTCTTTCCCATTTAAACAATGCATCGTTAACTTCTAACGGTGGCAAAGTGTTCCCACAATTACATTCAACATGATCAGAGCACAGAGTACTCTCAATCCCCGTGCCTCACTTGGAGGAAGGTATAAATACCTTCTGTCTGTGCGTGTGGCTTGCAGGTGGCTCTGGAGGGGAAGTCACAGCAGGAGATGGAGTGATGGATCGATGCGAGCTGACGTGCTCCTCTCGGGTGCCTCAGCACCTGGCTTGCGTTGGCTTTGCTCACAAGCTGGAAGTTAACAGAAGACGTCAGTAAAAGATGTGTCCTTTGAGCACCTTACAGACCGATCAGACATTTCCTTTTATTGGCACGTGAGGATTTACAGATCATATTAAATAAGGTGTAACGCACTGCAAGAGATCAGGGCACTGTAAAGTAATGTGTCAACAGCACAATAGCTGCCAGGCGCTCACCTCCAGCGGCAGACACCCACGGGCAGGATGAAGCTGTTTCAGTGCAGACATGGAGGAGCCTCAATGTTTTGCACGGGGTCGAGTGTAGAGTCCCAGCCTTGTGTAAGCGTGCACAGAGCAGGGGAAGGGTCTGTTGCTGTAAGAGACTCCCTCATGAAATGCATCCCTCTGAATAACATCTGTCGTTGCTGCTCAGGAAAGGGTGCCGTGGGTTTGTGTCTGGGAGCCTCTCGACAAGGCAGATGTTTAGCTCTGGTCCCTTTGGTATTGCCCCGGAGCGCCCCGGCACCCTTGATGCGTGGGGGAACTATGTGGCACTGCAGGAGAGCAGCAACTCGCTGGGGGTGGTGGGAACCCTTCGTGGGTGTCCAGGCTCTCACACAGCCCCTGCCCAGCCCTGGATTCCTCTGCCCAGTCCCAGCAGCGCGGTGTGCTGGGGATGGACAGCCCCGTGCAGGGAGGTGTGTGCATGGAGATGGCACACCCATATTTTATCACGCTGACCATTTCATCGCTTTTCCTGAGCAGGAACTTGCCCTCTCGGTTCACCCTCCGTCATTCATCACTGAGTATTGCAAACTAATTGCAAACATCTAAGTGCAGGAGCAGTTTTGCCCTGGTGACATGGAACACTGTTGGACTCTGACATCGTAGGGAGGAGAGGCCCTGGGGTGCAGGGTGCGGGCAGGCACCGCGCGGCTGTCCGTGCTCCCAGGATTTACAGTTGCAAGTAGGAGAACAGGGCTGAAAACTGAAAAACTGAGCTTGGGAGGCTCTTCAGTTACTAGAAAGGAAAAAAGAAGAAATCCAAAAGCTGGATCATCATCTGGTTTTTCTTGTGAATGTCACGTGGCTAACCCAGGCATTAGGGCTACTTTGGAATTGGCTGTTTCTGAAAGATATTTGCTTCACCCCCCCACCCCCCCCGCTCTTTTTGGGAAAACAAGAGCTATTTTAATTTGGGCTGTACATGGATTCATGGGAAATGCCATGCAGGTATCTGCCAGGCCCTCTAGCCAAAATCCATCTTACCGAGGTTGGAAAGACAAAACGCAGTGCCACCCAGCCACGCATTCAGCACAACAAACCTATTGACGCGATGGGATTCCTCCTCAGAGGCCCCTCACGAGCCCCGGTGAGAAAACAGCAGCCTAACGTAAAGGAAATTCTTGCATGGGACATTTCCTGAGCTTTATGAATTCATTAGAAAATTACTCAGCACAATAATAAATGCATCCAGAGCTTTGATATTTTGCACATCAGGTGGTAAAACAGTAGCTGTGAATAGATCGCCTGTATGAAGATTTTTGCCTTGAGCACTGCAGTAGCAGATGGCCTAATAAATATGCAGTGCTCTAAAACGACGTTTGTAATTTGCGTGACCTAAGGTTTTTTGGTCTCCCGCACAGATAAAACGCACAATCATCCAATAATAAACTTTTTAATACATAAAAACCCTAAGCAGTGTAATGTAAACATTGTTTGAAGTACAGTAGCAGTACCGGTGTAGTAAGAGTTGCACTAGGAGCCTAGCTGGTTTCCTTCATGAAGAGTATTTTACTGTGGCTGTACCTGGTCAGCGCAGAGGCGTAGCCAATGTCCCACTGTTGGCGTAGCCCATCTTATCTCTGGCACCGGCCAGGGAGGGTATCTGTGAGGAGCAGGATGAAGACACGACATCAGTCCCCAGAAGCACTCCAGCCACACTGCAAAGTTAAAATTGCTTTTTATTTAATGGCTCTTGATAGCATTTTTCCTCTGTTGTTTTGCAACCGCATAGCTTTCAAACCTGTCCAGGTCTTGGCAAAAGAACACGGTAACAAAGGAAAAAGGTTGAGACCTGCTGAAGAGGCCACAGCTGCAGGGATGGATCACCAAACACTCCGGCTTCAGCAAATATTCAGCCCCTCTGCGGACACGCTGGACCGCTGTGCCCGATGCCCGGGAGCTAACACCAGCTGTTGAGGTGTTGACATCTCCTTTTCTCTTTCAGTGATGAGGGCGCTTCTGTGCAGAGAGGTTTAAGGGCACCAGTGCGGGGGCTGTGTGAGCGGAGGGACATATCTGGGCCCCATTTTAACAGAATTAGAGAAACAACCTTTATCACAAGCACCGTTTTGGTGCCCTTAGAGCAAAAAAGAGGTGGAACTGCTGGGGAGCCGTGCTCAGCTGGGGCACCTGGTGTTTGCTTTGGCCTTGGACTCACCTTCAAAAATGTCTCTCAGCTCTCCAGCATCCCCAGCCTGGGTTCGCTCTCATCTGCCATGCAGACTGGATGGCACACGCTTGGAAAGGGATTAAAAGCATCACAAGGTTGTTGATTCACCACTGATTTACCACAGGAACCTTCATAATAATTCTTACCGTGTAGTTTAATGTCCACAGATTATTTTTCCTCTTGAAAACTGTCAAGCTTGGAAGCAGAACTGCTTTTAGAGTGGCGTAAGAGCAAAATCCTGCTCAGGTCTTCGCATCATGGGCTGCTGAATGTGACCCCTCGGGAGCTCAGGGCTGTTTCTGGGGTTTCATCCAGAGCGTTTGCATTTGCACTGGTTATAACGCCTGCAGCAGGATCCCCAAACATCACAGTTAGAACTGCCTGTACAGCTGCTAACAAGCAAGTTAAACACTGAATAAGAAAAAATGACAAGTATTGTTGTTACACTTACGTACTCCCATGGGTATCGTGAAGCCAAGCTTTCAGTTTATCAGGGAACTGAATTTAAAGTTTTTTTCAAGGTGCCAAAAAAGGTGCCAGATAAGGATGCCAAGTTACTATGGTAACCATGAGAAAAGTGGTGATTATCAGCAATACCACATAGAAAAGACAGACTGGATTGTCTTCATGTTACATGTAGCCCATAGCTTAAAAAAATAAGCCCTTTTCTAAAATAGAGTAGTACCATGACAAAATAACTTGAATATGAAATGCATTATGCAAAATTATTTTCAAGTATTTTTCAGCCTGTGCAAGCTTGCCATTTGGCCCGAAGTTTAGAAGATATACCCCTAAACAGAACGCTTTATGGCTGAAGGGTATGTGAAAAATAAAGCATGACTTTTCATGGTTTTTTTTACCTAGTAACCACAGCAGCAGAGGGGGAAAAAAAATCAATATTGATGTCCTACTGTAAGCTCCTTAGGACAGAGCGTGTTCTTTGTGTGGCATAATGAGGCTCACATATACACACGGCGCGCAGGTACAAGTGACAGTACCGCAATATCAAAGATTACAAAGTCCTAGCAGCTGCTTGGAGGAGTCTGTGCTGGTGCTCCCATGTCCCAGGATGTCTGTGACCTGCAACTCAATGCTGCTGCAGCCCACAGAGACCTGAAGGCTGAAACCTGGTTATCTGGGCAGGCTTTGGAGAAAACCGTGGTTGATGGACCCAAGGCAAAAGGAATGAGAGAAATGGGGAGAACCATTCCAGGGACACAGAAACACACTGCTCTGGGCTGTGGCTCAAAAGTGTTTTAACGATTTCTTCTTCCCCCTGAGCTGTCTGATAGGCGATTGACGGTGTCTTTTAGCAACTGGAAACAAAGCAGAGATGTCTGTCACACATCATGTGCGCAGGGAACACAGAAAGGCCTGAGACACCAATTGACTGACTCGGGATCTGCTGACTCCAATCTTCTGTTTTCAGTGCACATCCAAGAAACATTAACGAAGCCTTACTAAAATTTACTGCATTTCAACATTCCTGTTCCCAAAAATCATAACTGATGCTGGGTCTGTAGAAATAAATCTCTGCGGTTTCATTAACCTGAACCTTTATGCCCAGACATGGGTCTTTTTACCTGTTGGAAGGCATGCTCTAGTGAGAGCTGTGTGATTGTCATGGACTAAAACATCGCATGAGTGCTAGGAGCAAATCTCTGTGTTCTTCATCACTTGCCATGAATGCAGGCTTTGACAAATTAGCTAAACAAAAAGCACGCAGCGTGCCAGCAGCGCTTTAGTTCTAGGTTCACAGGATGATCATTAAGAAAAACATTGAGAGCAAAACTTACAGTCCTTGTAGCTAAGCCTTTCATGCCGTTCAACTCACAGGTGTTGCTCACAGCATTACGGCAATCAATTCCCATGGATGCCGAAGCCACAAAGCTACTAACTAGAACACAAAGGGCAAGGATCCCAAACTGCTGATTTTGAAAAGCAGGACTTACCTATAACATACAATTGTGCTAATGACAGGAAAACAGTGTATCTGGACTTGCCTATGAACCTGTCTGGAATAACAGACTCACCCTGGACCTGCCTGCCTCCTCATCCCATTAAAGGTGGGGATAAGAGCGTGGAGTCTCTGAGGACTGCCTTTTGCCCAAGCTTTGGATCTCCACTGCTTTTATTGCCCCCCCCCCCCCCCAACCACGGGCGGTTCTCCGACACAGCCACGGCACC